CTATACATTGGTAATTAACACATTATATCAGAGTTGCTCCCTTAAATGTTTTATAGATTGGTAATTGGCATGTTGTATCCGATTTAGTCCCATAGATTTCTATAGATTATTCTGTCCTTATACTCTTTTACTTGTTATTGATACATTGACACTTGATCAGTCATACATCAGATTTGCTCCCATAGATTTCTATGGATTGGTAATTAACATGTTGTCTGATTTGCTCCCTGATTTCTATCAATTGGTAACTTCCATTTTATATCTGATGTAATTGCCCTGTAGATTTTCATAGATTGAAAATTGATGTTACCGTATTTGTCTTCAGTTAAGCGCCACCTTCAATTAGGCGCCAGTGCCACAAAAACATTGTATTTTACACCTCAATTAAGCGCCAGACAGAGTTGAAATTTTGGCACGTAATGATCATGAATTGAGAGCCGGCGGATCGACTACCAGTTATCGATAGTTAGTGATAGACGCGATCACGGAAGTCCCTCACTGCTACTGTACGATGGGCTTTTAAGCAAAAAATTTAGTTTTGTTTCTGACAAATTTTAAGAAATCGGTCTATATTCTCTTGCAACATGTTTCTTTCGTCTCATGTAGAAGTAAAAAATATTGGCATTGTTTTTAATTTCACAAGTTTCTTAAAACTACGTGAAAATGTTATCACAGTAAACAATGTTAACTTATTCTTCAGATGCTTAGGTTATATTTCGAAAATAACTAATTTCTTGATTTGAAAAAAAAAAATCATGCCGTTAAAATCAAAGCCAAAAGATCGCAAACATTGCCAAATCTCTTCTGTGTTGCGTTCATACATTAACATACATTATTTAAATGAGCTATGGTAATTTGATCGCGTTGGCATCATCCAGCATTTTCATTGGTTAATTATCAGGTCAAAGAACACGTCTCAGGTCAACTCCTACACAGGAAACATGGCGGATATCGTATCGAATCAAGCGTTTACATGCAACAATAAAATATAAATTGAATTTATTTGTTGTACGTTATTATAATCACTACTAAGTAAGAATCGTAACTGTGAAACACTGCATGACCAGATTTGCTACCATGATCGTTCGCTACTAAGCAATGCATTTTTGTTTGTTTTATTTTTGCGTTGATCGGTAAGCTGTGAATGTTTTCTAAATGATGATATTTTTTTTTCTAGACTGTCTGGAAACACATAAATACTTAGTATTTAAAATAAGGTTACAGTGACTAAGTGTCAGACTGTAATGTAAAATATTACCAATAAGTTGATACAATGTATCACCTGAATGGAGCAAGAACAATGGCTTGAAACACTACGAGAACTTGAAGTGCTTGAAATAAGTGCCATTTGAAACAAACTTGCCCAAATTTAACCACAAATAAGCAACGGCCACCATGAAATGAAAGTGTAACAAAGTGGTGCCTAATTGAAGAAAAAACATGTATGTTTGATTAAATTTCTCCCATAGATTTTTCAAGATTGTTAATTGATATTTCATATCTGATTTGCTCCATAGAAATCTATATTGTAATTGACATGTGATTATGAACTGCTCCCATAGATTTTTATTGATTATTCTGTCTTTATTCCACTTACTTTACACTTTTCACCTGTAATTCACTGAACAAATTAACAGTCCATAGTTGCATCTGATTGGTAACTCCAGCATCGTAATGCGATACATATATGTCACCCGATGTAGCATGGTAAAACGTCATACAGCGTAGCGTATACTGATGATGAAGACTATGCACCATCTAAAAACAACAAAGAAAACCTTGAACTAGAATACTGTATATTTGTTAAATTATCAAATATATTTTGTTCGCAGCCAGGCAGTTTTTGATGTACAAATTAAGTAGTATATGCATAATGTCACATGATAGTCATGTCAGAAGATGTTTGCAAACAGCCATGCCTTGTTGATCATTTACATACCAGTAGATTAAAGTGGTGAACACACAATGTTCCAAACTGACATTTCTGATGCAGTCTTCTATAATCACAGCCTAGCAATCTCTTGAATTGCACCGATGCATAATGGGAAATAATAATAGGTTGCAGGCAACACTAAAATACAGTACTCTATGCATTTTGATTGTCAAAAATAATGATTTTGTAGACCACTCTGACCAAATGAATAAATTATTTATTTATTTTGTCTGTTGGTTCCAAAATTTGGGATAATTTCCAGAAATGTTGAAGAATATAAGAAGAAAAAGTACAACAAAATTTGGGCGAGAATGTATGGTGGTGAAACGATTAATATTAATATTCTGTTATGCAGTTCTAGTTTCATGTTTTTCAGACAACCATGATGAATGTTACTAATAAATTTTATATTAACACAGGCATCAAATTTACAATAATACAACATGTTTTATAACACGACTTCTCTTTCACACAGATTTCATACACCGCATAGAATAGAGCATCTGGGATATTTTACAGACTAGTGATGTGTATATTGACTGGCTCAGCCGTAGCAATTTTATTGTTTTAATGATAATTCAAGTTTATGGAATCTTGTGTTGACGCAAAATTTCCACGACTGGTCTGTTCTGCCACAACCTCTATCAATGTCACCACTTTTTTGTGGTGATAAATATGCTAATAAACAATAAAAAAGGCAGCATTTGATCAGACCCGTTCTATACAAATCCATAACACATGTGTGACCTGACGAGTAGAATTCTTTGTGCAAGCATATGTCCACTTTCTATTTTTGGAAGTGTTCCACCGCATAACATGAATATTTAATAGCAATAAATACACCTCACAATAGACCAGTCGTATTAATTTTGCGCCGCACCACGATTTAAGTTAGAATTATAAAATTGTCATGACTGGCAAAGTCTAAGTTGCAACTTGTACAACGTTGCTGTGCAGATAATGCCCTCGCAAGTTGGGTGAAAGGTCATGCGCTCAGGCACTAATGCTTTATATGGTCTATAATATATCATAATTTACCTGTAATCCATAGGGAACCGTTACTGTTGCATCCTGGGGATCCTGAGACTTCAGAATGGACAGGATCAAGTCCTGAACCTGTCGCCAAGGCAACAATAGCGGTTTACTCTTCAAACGCATCTTGTTGGTTTCTATGTCAAATTGTATATTATATTTTCATCTTTCTCCCCTGGAATAAATGTATTAAAAATTATCTTGTGATGATGTTTCTGTATTTTACATCAACAATTCTGCAGCTGTTGACCTTTTGGGGCAACTGACCAATGACCGAATCATTTTGTGAACATAGACCTGTTGGGAAAACTGACAACAGAAATGCCATAGTTCCTCATCATCAAAAAGTTCATGCTCAAAGATTGTAGATGTTAAAAGCTACCAAAATATGCCTTCAGACGTCAGAATGATTTTATATTCAATATGATTAGAAGAATTCCTCTTTATTTTGTATCACTATTAAAAACAGTATGATTTTAGATTTTCTGTAAAAATGGAAAAAGTCGAAAAGTGTGGTATCGCAACTTCCCATTTTTTCTTACACCCTGGGACACACAAGCCTATGGTTGCATGAATGTGAAACTTTGGCTTCGTTTATCGAGTACCAAATCAAACCCTATCACCGAACCCAACCCCTCCCAACCAAAGCGCTAGGCGCAACGTACGACGGAACTCTAGTAACGGTCGGTCAACATGGTGGTGAATCCACCGTCCCTGATGAACACAATCATCTACTGATATCTCTGCACGTGTAACTAATTCTTACCATGGCTATGGCTTGTCTTCCCCATATACATTACATCTCAAATCCTCGACATTTGATGCTGTTATAAGGTCCGAGTCCTGCCACGGACGTTCCAAAACAGCGTTCTTGGCGGCGCGCTAAAATTCTGTTTGAATGATGTCATGAAAGTTGTTATGGAATATTCTATTAGATTACCAAGGGGACGTCGCTCGTGTTCTGTTTTAGCAAAGCGCGCCCTCTGAATCGAAATTGTTTATCTCGTATCCTCGGGGCGGACATCCGGGCATTTTCACCGCCCGGCAACCCTCGCGGTGAAAACAAAGGCCAAAAACTCGCAGAAAACGGTACTTTGGAATGGTTGTTCAGACTCATCTGAACAATGTAACAAAATTATTTCTACGCGTGTAACACATATAAATTTGGCTGTTCAGGATTACTTCAAAGTTGAGTTTGTGTTGTTTTCTCGAATTTTCACCGGCTCGACCGGCGTTCCACAGCAGCGCGCACAGAGCCTATAGAAATGCATGGTACAGTGGCGCGCGTCTTAGCAACGTGGAACGTCTGTGACGTAGCTCCGCCCGAGGATACAATAATACGAGAAAAGCGTGGTATAATTCGTTTTCTCATTTTATGTATACTCACGTTGACACAAACACATTCACTAAACAAATATTTGCCACATAAAAAAATAAATCAACCATTTTTTTCTCGTTTTAATCACGGTTATAATAAAGGCCGATGGTCGTCGCGCCACGCATGCGCAAGATATTGGTCTCACATAAACAAAGATGGCGATTGAACTCTTTCGCAACGAATACAAACCGAGAGATAACCAACCTTTAATAAGCTATTTTTTTTTTTTTTTTTTTTTTTTTTTTTTTTGAGTGATTGACAGGTGTGGAAGAAGTCGCCGGCGGTAATTAGTTCAAGTATCACCCAGAACAAAACTTGTACATGTGATTTCATTAGAAAAGCGCATTGGATTTTGGGTAAATCAATGTTTATCAACACAAATGTCGCAAATGCGCGGCGCGGCGACTATATCGGTACAACACACGTTTTGTGTCACAAATCATAAAACTTGAATAAAATAACAGGAATTAGAATTTTTTTTTTGGACCAAGACATTAAAATATATTGTTGTTATTATGTAAACATTAAATTTAGGCAAAATTGTGTTGGGTGTCATGAGACTGAATTTGCAGGCCGGCTGAAATATGCTTATGAAACTAGTATATTGAAATTGTGAGGCATATATTGTGACACGCTCTATCGATGTTTGGTCACATGTTGTCAAGTATGTCTTCGGAAGTCTAAAACATGATAAAAATCAGTGTTTTCAATGTACAAAACGAGACTGTACAATTCTACTAAAGTGGCCAATCCACAAACGATTTCGAAAGGAGATGTAACCGAACGGGTGTTGAGCATTTACCTAAATCAAATCAAATCTTCTCTTTTTACAATTTGCACCATGATATTATAAAAAAAATAGATAAAGATGTTCAAGATGATACAATATCTTGGTTATAAATTATTAAAGTTTAAAGGGTTTAATTATTATTGATTTCACAGCTTAGTGTATTTGTTCTATAGAAGTCGGTGCATTCCAAATACATACGGCAATGAAAAGTGCATGATCACCTATTTCCAAATTTTCTTTAATGGCACATATCTTGTTTTTGCTAATGCACATCTTCTTGTGTATTATAAAAATACACATTATTACCCCTACGCCGAGAGACATTAAGATATGCGCAACGTTGAATTCAACGCATCACAGA